GGGCAGGTTGGATGAGATCCCGGCTGTGTGATGAGACGGCGTGTCACCCTGGAGGGAGCCGGCAGCAGATCACGCCAGCTGTGCCTCACATCTGGCTGGAGAGCGAAGGGCTGAGCCCTGGCTGGGGGTGAGGACCACTCCTTGGGCCCGGCTGTGAGATGCAGAGCATCCTCACTGCCCTGAGGGGCTGGATAGAAGAAAGCTGCTCTGGTCTGGAAGGAAACCGGACTGTTGTTCAGGCTTTTCTTACTTTTTTTTTTCTGTCTTCTGCTTCTGCGGTACTCCCCGAGGCTGTGCCTGTTCCTTTTCAGTACATTTGCTATTGCTTATAAAAGCAGTAGTCTAGTGCCCTGCTCCACACAGCTAAGAAAACAACTTACACCTGCTGGCACACCTTGGGTCAGGCTCAGAAATAAGGGCACCTGGAAGAGAGCAGGCTCCTGTCCTGGAGAGCTGGCCAAGCATGAAGAACCCCTCATCTGAGCCCCTGTCCACTTCCCTACCCCCAGCTGGACTTACATCCACATTAAATATAAATATCTAACACTTCAGCAGAGCCAGCAGACATCCAAGGAGCACTGAGGGGAGCCAGTCCCTGACGCACTATGGGTTTTGTCACTGGCAATAGCCCCAGAGGTGAGCATACTGGAACAATCCCTGTGGAAATTGCTGTGTGGATTTTATCCTGCAAGGTAAAAAAGAGTTTTCTGCGTCTGCCTTCACTGTCTCCCTTTCCTTGACATTCTGCACATCCCCACCACTGCCAACAACTCCTGCCACTCCTCACCCAATGGCTGCCATCAGCACTCAGTACTCACGTCTCAGCCTGGCACAGGAAGGAAGAAAGTTTCTTTCTTTCCCTCTTAAAAATGAAATAAAAATAAAGGCCCTAAAAGGCATTCTGTCCTATTTTAAAATCCTAAAGTTGATCTTCCTAAGCCTCAAAGGGAGATAGAGTGAGTGAGTAAGACCAAAGCCTTTAAGATAATTAATAACTTCCCCTCCCTACTGCTCAGAGATTTATTTTTCTTTTCCTAAAAATACATCCATAGCCCATTTTTAATGCCGTCTTCCTTCGCATCAATGTCCCCAATAAAGCAGAGGAGCTGAGCTGTCATCTCTATCTCAGGATCTTCCCCTCCCATTACTTTGAAGCTGGGATAGGGAGGGATAGGGAAGGAGCGAGGAGAAAAGGCCTTGAAGTCTGGGCAGCTTTCCTGTAGGAAGGTGTAATGGAGGCAAGAGTATAGCCAGGCAAGAGATAGAGATGGGACCTCACATGGGCGGTCTCCAAAAAGCCCCTTCCCTCTAACGCAGAAGGGAACATAACACTTGGCTTTGCTTTCAGAATAGAAAAAAGCAGGTGGGCAGGAAACACAAAACCAGGTAGAAGGAGGAAAGCAGAGGTGGGTCTGGTTTATGCTAGCAAGACAACCTTTGTATGTGTGTTGAGGTGGGAGGGCACCTCTTGGCGCCATCTCTTTGGAAAAGTACTCAACCATTCCAGGAAAGATCCCTGGGCTTCATCCCCTCTGCTCCCTCAGAACTGCTTGGTGTTTCCTTTAGTAAGCATGCGCCATAGATACGCTACCATACAGGTGTATTAACATGTGATGAGGTCTGCTAGGTCTCAGCAGAGGTCTCTGGTACAATGCTCCAATCTAACAACAGAAAGAGTTTTGGTGTTCAGAGTGAGGCCATCTTCACGTCGCACTGCAGCTCAGGACAGTCTCTCCTCCTCTCGAGCTTCCTTTCACTCGTGCACTCCTTTGCTTGGAACCGGCTGCTGCGAGGATCAGGTATTTGAAAAGCGATGAGAAGGAAGCATGGCAAGTGGTACAAGTTCTCAGCTCCAGCTTAGCAGGTGGCAGCAGTGGCGGCAGGGGGAACTCCATCCCCAGGAGTGCCCCGAGGCCGGTCCTTGGCACGGGTGAGTCCGTTTCTCTCCGAGGCTGGCAAAGTTTTGGGGTGGGTACAAACCTATGGCCGGGTAAATGCAAGGCAGGGAAGGAGGTCGAGGAGTAGCAAACGGAACACACAGTGCCTAGAAAGCAGCAGGTCATCAAGCCTCTCAGGAACAGCGCAGCAAAGTGCTACACAGGGACGGCACGAGCACAGGAGGCCAGTGGGGCTGGCAGGGCGTGAGGATGTGTGGGCATGTAGGTTGGCAGTTTCTACAGATGGCTCCTCACAATTAGCATCATCTTGAGGGGAGGCAGGGCAAAAGTTAGGTCAGTCGGCTGGTTTTTTTTTTTACTTTTTTTTTTCTTCTTCTTTTTCTAAAAAATAAATCACAAACTAGATCTCTGTAGGCAGAAAGGGTCCCCGGGAGGCGGTGGGGAAGGGAAGCAGGGAAGTCTGTGCTGTTCTGGTGCTGGTGGTGTGGCTACACGCGGAGACGGGGGAGCCACTGGAGTACCTGCGCCTCTGAAGCAGGGAGCCTGGGGGACAATACTGGTGGGGATGGTTGTAGGGAGGTGGTGGAGGTGGGAGGGGAGGCTGATGGACCAGCTTCATGGGGGTCCCCGGGAGCCCACTGCCCACACCGTGCCAGGGGGTGGAGGTGCAGGAATCGGAGGTGACGTAGCGTGTCAGAGTCTGGTTGAGGGCCGGCTCCCTCCGAGCGAGGCACGGCTTTTGCCAAACACAGAAATTTGAAAACTCCTGGGAACG